CAGCAGTGCATTAATCGACTCAAAAATAAACAGACTTCCTACAGGGTTTTGAACACGGTTTTAATTAAAGTACTTTACGAGCGCTGCGGTAGTTGACCGCAAAAGTGTTACGGTGATGGATACTCAACTGGATGATTACGTCACTTCTTAGCAACCAGACGGTACGAATTTTTTAACTTCCGGAGCACTGAGGCTCGTAGTGACGCGTGGCTCAACATTGAGGAGGAAGAAGGCACATTTCAGGGGGGGAAACAGTGTGAAGTAGAAATCTCAGGATTTCTGCAGAAAATTCGAGAGAAACGGTGTCTGTTTCAACGTTTTGTGACGAGTATTGTCTTTGCATCAGAAGGGCGTGGACGGGTAACGTAAACGTAGGAAGAGTAATTATTGTTGCCTGCAGTGGTTACGTGAGGAGTGTTCTTGTTCTGGCTGTTCTAGATATGAAGTAGGAGTTATATAAAGAAGCTATGCAGACTTTAGAGTATAGCGATTTTAAGGTACTTTTGTGGTAAAACAGTTAAGTAAAACGGCTCTGCCTATTAGCACATTGTGATGGTGTTTAAAGGTATAATCGATAACGTGACCCGTGCACGTGCGTATTATCTATGTCGGGTTAAAGGCCTATCTGTGCGAACAGTTTCCGGCATGTGCAAAATTTCTGCGGCCACTGTTTATAGAATTGCACATGAGAAAACTTATAAGAGGCGCACTTCCGAGAAGACGTGTAAAAAAGGTCGCAAGAACAAGTTAAGTGACCGCGACAAAAGAGGACTGATACGATGCATTACACTTTTGACGAAAAGAGAGGGGAACTTTACCTGTATAGCACTGATGGAGGAAGCCGGAATTCAACAAAAGGACGTATCTGTAAGAAGAGTTTCTTGTTTTCTCAATTCACAAAATTACTAGTATCTGCAGACTCGCAGAAAGGGGCTCATGACAGCGGAAGACCACAGCAAAAGAGTTTGCAAAGTACATGAAAGCCAACTACAGCCAGGAGATTTGGACAGAAGGAATCGCCTTTTACCTGGATGGAACAGGATTTACGTACAAAAGAAATCCACTAGATCAGGCTCGTTCACCAAAAGCTCGTGTCTCGATTAAGAAATCAGAGGGTTTGGCTTCGGGATGCATAGCAAAGGGCCGCAAAGAGGGAACTGGGGGCAAAGTATTACGACTGATGGTGGCAATTTCTTACAATAGAGGAGTTCTCTGCTGTGAACCTTACGAGAAAATGAATGGTCGTTATTTTGCTGCGTTTATAGATAACCATTTTGATCGCCTATTCGCAGCTGCTGACAAAGGATGTAGCCGTTTGTTTTTACAAGATGGGGATCACTCTCAACATTCGGCTTTAGCAAGGGCAGCAATGCAACACACAAACAGTACCTTAATCAAACTGTGTCCAAGATCTCCGGATATGGCGCTCATTGAAAATGTGTTCCCTGTGGTGAGTAGGATGTTAAAAAGACAAGCGGTGCAGCAACAACTACGCCAAGAAACATTTGAACAGTTTAAGAATCGTGTTATGAACACATTTTACTCTATATCTGTTGAGACTGTGAACAATTTAATACGCTCTATGCCAAAACGAATTGATATGGTCATTAGAAATAAGGGGAAGCGTATAAAATATACCACAAATTGCATTCTGTGGATAATTGCGTGATATTTCTTCTCGTAAAATGTAAACTTTCAGAGACAATATCACTATCGCACTATTCGCCAAAAATAAGGGGGGAAGGGTGGTGTTGCATATTTCAAAACAGAAGGGGGTGAAGATTGCTCTGATGGCCATCAAGAGGACGTTTAGCGATTTTTACATAGCAGAATGTTTTTTTGTGGTCATTTTATGAAATTGATTCGCTATTCATTGTGACATGATTTCTGTTGGAGATCCAGGAAAAGAATAGTGAAGTACATGGCCGCTAAGTCCTTATCTCAAATAACTACACAAAGGTGTCAAATGAACACGGAACCTTTTTCTTCTTTTGCTATGATGTTAACAGTTCTATGTACAAAAATAAGCTAACTTTGTAGAAAATTACATTATTAAAATAGATCATTTGTTTTAAGGACCTGATGACCTTCTTAGCGCTGAAACTCAACGATTCACTACTGCGTTCTAAAGTAAACTAATTATAGTACCATAGACTTTAAGAACGATCGGTTCACCATAGTGAAGCCCTACAAATAGCCTTATTGAATAGCTTAATCGAGAAAATTATCCCTCAGGTGTATGCTCCCTGATCTGTTCTATCACTTAAAACACTTGTAGATGCAGTAGCTGTTGGTTTGGTTCCTAAGAAAAAGGCAAATAATTTTCCAAACACCATGGTGAATCGTGTAACACTTAAACCACAGCAAAAGATTACAAAATGTCAACAAACTCGGTGATATTTACATAAGATCAGTCATAATTGAATTAGTCGTCTTGTGGGAAAATATGTCGACTAAAACATTTTCCACACGGGGGTACTGGCTTCTGCTGTTCCTCGGGTATTTGATGGAAGAGATTGAGGACCGCACCACCTTAATTACCTTCATGAGTCTCCCTGTCATCAACAACACCGCCTCGTACATAACTAAGTTCATCCTTACTGGCAGAAAATATGGGTGCATCTCCCTGGAACAGAATATCTTGTCGGTAGTGTGTTTTGGGGGCGGGTAGATGAACAGTTTGGCCTTCAAGAAGCATTAAGAAGTCATGCCAGGGAATAATTTGGGCAGACCACCTAAAATCGTTGAGAAAAACTACTTCTGACTGTTCTGCGCCAACTCAAGCAAACGTTGTAGAGGCTGGATTACTGAATGTTTTGTAGAGGAACCGAATCGCCATTTTTGTCAGCATTACATGCGAAGAACGACACAACAAACCTTT